CGTCCTTCTTGAGGTGTCTGTGCAGGTGATCGGAGCGCACGAAGGTCTTGCAGCAGCTGTCGCACTGGTACGGCCGCAGCCCCGTGTGCACACGCATGTGGTTCTTCAGGTCGTAGTTGTGCGCGAAGGCCGCACCACACTGCTGACACAGGTACGGCTTCTCCCCCGTGTGCTTCCTCATGTGCACCTTCAGCTTGTCCTGCCTGTGGGCGGGCAGGCGGGCGGCACAGTCAGCAGGTACCGGGAGACCCCAGCCCCACCCCAACCCCTCAGCCAAAGCCCGCACTTGGCGTCACTGCAACCCCTGGAAAACACTAAACTAAATAAAGTGGGTATTTTCCTTCTCACAGCCAGCAGAGACCAGTGAGGGTGGGGGTGGGGGTGTGCCTCTTTGCACCAACATTGTTGACTTACTGGGCACCTGCTAGATGCCAGGCCCTGAAAATGCCACCTAGGAAGAGGGGGCCCAGAACTACAGCAGGTGTTCTGGCTGTTAAAGAGTTGTATACGGCCAGGCATTGGTGGCACACGCCTTTAATCCCAGCACTCGGGAGGCAGAGGCAGGCGGATCTCTGTGAGTTCGAGGCCAGCCTGGTCTCCAGAGCGAGTACCAGGAGGACAGGCTCCAAAGCTACACAGAGAAACCCTGTCTTGAAAAACCAAAAAAAAAAAAAAAAAAAAAGAGTTATATACTTGGGTTAAAGAGATGGCTCAGCCTTAAAGGCTAGGCTCACAACCAAAAATGTAAGAGTTGTATACTCAAGAGGCACACATCTTCATTCCCAGCACTAGGGAGGCAGAGGCAGATGTGTGAGTCGGAGCCCAGTCTGAGCTACACAGCCAGTTCTGGGACAGCCTGGTCTATACATAGAGAGACCCCCTATCTCAATCAAAAGTTCTACATCCCAAAGGCATGCATGAAGGACCGTCTTCCCACCCAGGCCACCCTGCAGGGCCTCCTAAACTCTCACAGTTAAGCCTGCACCACTGCCCCCACACCCCAAGGCCTCACTCAGCATGTTTGCTGAATGTCCACACCCCTGCACTCCTGAGACACAGCCTGGAAGGCACCATCCTCCTGTCTCAGCCTCCTGGGTGCTGGGTGACAGGTGTGGTCACTGCTCTGAAGAGAATGAAGACTACCCAAGTGTAAGGTTCTGTGTGCAAAGTAGGCAGAGCTCATTTGCCCACTGAGCAGCCTGGGGCTGGACTTTCTCCCACTGTCTCTCACTTTGATCACCCTGTACCTGACTTGTGTGACATTTCTTAGCTCTCCACAACCGTCCAGCAACCCTGACAGCTTCTTTGACCATGAGGACTGATAAACTCCTATTCAGTCCCTATGGCCCCACTCTGGATGTCCCTCTGCCTTTGCCAATCCCTAGGGACCTGGCTCCTGCTTGGGCTCTGTCTCTGGCACCGCCCAGGCTGCCAACCCTGCACCCTTCATTGCTCCCTACTGCTCTGAAGGACATGGCCAGTGGCCTTCTGCAACAGACCCTAAGTTGTACTAAGAAAACACATATGAGATAAACCACCACCCTGCATACTTCCCTCCCAAGATTGCCACCCAGTATTGGGAGTTTCAGCCATCCCCCTGCATAGGCCCCCACCTACCCAGCACCTCAGTGGTTAAACTTTTTCTAGCTGTGTATGGAGATTTCCCCAGAAGGCTCAGAGGGGAGAACTGACTGGCCTAAGGTTGCACAGCAGGACAGGGGCCACACAGGCAGGGTAGGGGTGGGAGGCAGGACCCAGTTTCACCACCCCAAGCCCTGGCCTGGGTAATTATAGCCCCGGCTGCCACAGGACTGGCTTACTCAACGCTCACTGTGAGTCACAGGGGCCCCTGGGCTCCAGGCTGGGAGGGGGTAGTTAGGGGGTGGGGGGAAGGCCCCAT